TGGCACCTGGTGGGCAAGGACCAGGCATACACGTGACACAACACACAGGCATGGGCACAGCACTGTATGTGAGTTAATACCACACATACAACCACAGGAACAAAAACCATGGCTCTACAGGAGAGAAGAGCTTGTCTTTTGAATTCTTTTAGGCAAGAAACCGGGGAGAAAACAAAATGAAGTAGAAACTGTGCAAAAATGACTGGTCCGTGAACTTGAACCAAGTTTGTGGTCTGAAGACACAGCACACTTAGATCCTTCCCCCATATCAGGATGCAGTGAAAGTTCCTCATTCTCTGTCACAGTAAGTGGATGCCACAGAGACCAAAAGGGACTGGAAAGACACAGTGAGCCCAGCAGTAACCTCCCAAGCAATAAAGCAGGCACAGTCCCTGAACTAACTGAACAGAGTGACCCCCTCAAGTTCACCAGCCCACCACAGACTGAAGCAAAAGAGACAGAGCAGGATCCAGGAGGTAAAGCTGGTCCTACTAGCCACTGACACCCATACACTCTCAGGTTTTATTGTCCCAGCAGTGGGTCTGGCCTAAAACAACACAAAACTACTCAGAATTCAGGCAAGCAAGGAGATCACATTACTGTTAAGAAGATATATGGGAAGCTGTTTCTTAATACCACATTTAAAAAAAGAAGGTGATGCAATACTGATTATTCCATTAAATATTAATTACAATACAGCTGCTTTCAAGCTACAACATATTCCTTTAGATAACCGAATTAAGGGACAGGAGAACTGAATGAGCTTTGTGTGTATTTGGCACTTCTCAATTATGTTAAACTGAGTTCTTCAGCTCATGTGTAATTATCTCCAAATATTAATCTTTAGACTTACAGATTCAAGCTTTAAAAAAACAAAACAAAAACTTAGGACTCTCAGATTTGCTCAGATGACTCCCAAGATCCTTCTTACTGTTCAAGGAGCTTCAAGAGTTTATCCTAGACCTTTCATCAAACATTCCTGAAAGAGAGAATGAGGTTACCTTTTCCTCCTACAAATTTTAATTTGCATACAGATACCATCAGTTGGATAGCAGGGTTACATACTTCTCTCCTTTCCCTTCTACTTGAACTTGGTAATCAAACTCCAGTAACAGCAGACAACGAGACTGAATTTTATTCTTCAACTTTGAAGGACTGAAACCTCAGCAAGGAAAATGTAAAGCAAAGAGCAGTAAAGTAGCTGCACACTTTTCAAAGGTAACCTCCAAACAACCATGCTCTGGAATTAGTTTTTACCATTGCAGAAAGCTCTTCAGACATTTCTTCATGCTGTGACTGTTACCCTAGACCATCTCCATCTCAAACTGACATGTTACCTCCAACACCAGAACTGTCAATTAAAGTAAATGAAGAAGGCTGCAGGAAAAGTTTTTTCTTTCAAGAGCATTACTCAGTTCCAGTAATATTTAATGGCTGGGTCAATCACAGGGTGCAGCTCCCCTCTCTGCTAAAACAAAATCCAGGATTTGCTTTTGTATTTAGAAGGAAAAAAAGAGGAAAAAAAAAGGCAAGAAACTTCCAATATTTGAAAAGATATATATATATATATATATATATAATTTCATTTAACTGCTTGGAGACCATCAAAGTTGCATTAAATTTTATCCTGCTTGGCAGTTGCATATGATTTCTTTATTTTCCCTTGAATTAAGCAGCAATTCATCACAAACTTCAAGTATATTTCCCCCTTTTCAGTAAGAGGTACTGTATACATGTATATGAATTGTATTGGATTCAAACTTTCAGCCTCTCTTCTCACACAAGGTCGAAGCTCTACATTGTTGTAATTTTCTTTTTCAGTGTTTTTTCTCCAAGACAGTCCTCCACTGGGAAATTAATATTCTGCATGAACAATGAACTCCTTGCATGGCCTTTGAACCTAGTGGTTGCTAGGAGGCCTAAAGAAACCCTGGAGTACAGCCTATTTAATAGCACGTATCAAGAGATTATTCAGAAGCAAAAATGTGTGATTTTCTAAATTGTCTGCTTTTTTCCCTCCTTACTTCCATCTCCATTCATCTGTCAAACAATCTTTAGATTTCATATGAATTGCATCTGCATCAATTTTCTATAATTATGGGCAGTTTGTTCCCCGAGTATTGAAAATGTGACTGGCCAGCCACCAATGCGGCTTCAAATCAAGCAAATATCAAACTGCTCCTTACTCAGTTTTACTGAAAAGGCTGCTTAAAATCAGATGTGCTTCACCACTGTAGCATGAGGTTTGCACTTCCATAATAAACATGGTTCTGCTTAGGGACTGTATTTTCCTCATACAAAACACCATGGCATTGACTGCAGAACCATTACTCAGTATTTCTCTGTGCTGAAAGAAATATATATAGCTTCTCCATTCAATTCAGGCATACTTGAATATTAACATTTCAAGCTTTTTAGCATCTTACTGAAGGTTGTTTGATTGCATGCATTTCCATATTTCCCCAAGCAGAGTAATTGAGGCAAAACCCCAAGGTTTCTTTCCCACCCTCCACCCCCATTCCAAACAATGAGGCATTTAATTAAAAGATAACCACAACAATGTTAATGGTGATGAGGTTAAATGGTTGGATAAACAGAATGCAGCCCTCTGAAAAGCCCATGTGTTTCAGGACACTTTCTCCCCTACAACACTCTGGGTGACAAAGAAAGTATTTGTATTTCTGATCCTCACAATTTTTACATTCGTGAACTTCCTACAAATTTCCTGCAAGGAAGAGAGTTTCCTTCAAATAGTGAGAAGTGTACACAGTAGCTATTTCTCCCAAAACTAATATTTGGAAAGGCAGTGGACAAAGATCCTTTAAAAAAATGAATGTGGCAACTATCCATTATGAGAGAACAATTACATTTCCAGATAAAAGCCTAACAAGCTGTTGTTAAGGTTGAAAAAACCAACAACAACAAGAAAAACCCAAAACAACAAAACCAACAAATATTTGCTGATTTTAATTTTCAACATGTTCTTCCTCCAAAAACTTTAACAAATTAGTAGAACTTAACATGACATTTGTTCTTATCTTCAGTTGTTGCAATTGAAATGACTAACCTCTATAGTCATAAACAAGTATTCTTGGTCTGGAAATTACTTTAAAATATCTGTAGCAGATTAAAATTCTGTGCCCCCTCCTACCTCTCAAGGACACGGGTATCTGCCAACAAATGCAGGGTGACATATCTGATTCTGCAGATTGCTGGTGTTCGACTGTCTGCTTGGTTGGTACCAATCTTGCCAACATAAAGCTTTCACAGAGCCAGAGCACTTTGCTGAAGAATTAAAAACAAGCAAGAACCACAGCACTTGGCACAAAATGCTCACGTGAGCTCCTTCTCTTTTAAATATGGCCTTTCACACTGAAAGAAGGGCCTAAAAAGTACTGACTTCAACAGATCTGCCACAGGGTATCTTACACTGGGAATACCAGGACATTCACCCAGAACAATAAAAATATTTGCAGTATTGTCAGATTCAGCTTTCCAGACACTTTCAAGTCCTGCAGCACCAATGGAACAAGTCAACCACTTCACCAACACAACCATTCTCCTCTTCAGCTGTCCAAGCATAAATTTTCCTTGTTGTTTCCACTCACTATGTGACTTCCCAGGAACCAGAGCACCAATTGCCAAAATGGCACAATACTCTTACAAAGGCAGATTTTTCAATGAAATGCAATTATTTCTCTTGTACTTGAGCATGAAAGAAAAAATAGTCACGAGGCACTTTTAAAACATGAAAAACCAATCCTGACTGGAGAGATATGTTTATTAGGGCCAGGGACAGGAAAGTGAGCATATAACTGAAAACCACAATCTTTGGCTCAATCTTTGCAGCAGAAATGGGGCGGAAGGGGGACAGCAGTACAGGGCTGGAGACGTTTTCAGTAATGCATTATAAATACCTTAGTTTTCTCCTTTCAAGGAATCTGCCTACTCAACCTAAATTGTGCCTCAGAGGGAGAAACGTGCCTTTGTGATAAATTGGGATTTGCCATCATAGTAATGAAACATTATGTCCTATCATCACAATAAACAGGCAGCAGAACAACAAAGGAGGTTTCCAGGATTTTCTGCCCCCGGCCCCCTCCCCATCAGCATTTTCCCAAGTCGTCTTTTGGATGTTTATGAAATGCCTTAATTCCAAGGCCATTAAGATTCATTTCTGGATGGAGCAGATTCTACAAATAGTACTGAGGCTTTCCAAAATCTCACCAGCACTCCATCGGAGGCCAAGCCTCTCCCTGATGCCTCCTTTCCCTGCGCTGTTTTTTGTTTTGTTTGTGCTTTCTCTTTCCCATGCACAAACATGTTGGTGCAGTGTCCATTATTTCCCTACGGCCTTCCTTGAAAGCCACTGACAAATGAATATACATGCACGTGTGCGTTCCACCACATACAGAGGTCTGGTCTCCTTCTACACCTCAAAAAATAAATGCAAATGTGTTTACAGTCATTTTCACCAACACATGCCTTGCCATTGCAGAAACATGCAGCTGAAAGCCTGAGAGACTGTAACAAGACAACTGCATTTGCAACCACAAGTAACCCTTTTCCTTTCCAAAATGGAAAAACACGAAAACCTGATGAATTAACTAGAGTTAACTGCATTTTAAGAGGAATGTGTGGGAGAGCAGTAAATATCCAGCACATGCTTTTACGCACAAAAGGCGCAAAGGGCTCCATGCTCTGCACATCCAGTCATTTTTGTCTGCTCTTCCGCAACAGAGATGCAACCGTTTCTCTCATACATTTTATTTCACTAGACTAATAGATTTTAAACACCATATTGCGAGGACACCGCTGTGAATCTTGCAGAGGTACAAAATGGTGGATGTATGCTATTTTTTTTTCATTATTCCTAACAACTCAGCCTCCCGATCGCAGGCTCCCCTCCGTACCCACCAACACATCCTTCCCAGCCAGACACACATTCCGAAGCAGCCTCGCAATAAAGCTCTCTCGCATACACAAATTATGTTACAAACCTGATGTCATGTAGCCCCGTGATGCCTGGGAAATAAAAGCTGGGGGGAAGTGCTTGTGCAGTCGGTAGTCCTTCTCGCTGCGGGACCTCATGCGGTCTGAGGCCCGGTCGGAGAAGTCGGAGCTAGGCCAGGCCCGCCGCAAGGTCGTACTCCGCGTCTTCTTCATCCTGAGGATGGCCGAGCCTACTCCTCCCGCCGCAGCATGGGTCAGGGCTGCGCGCTGCCGGCCATCAGCCTAGCGCGGCCACCGCCGGGCCGCAACCTGCGCGCATCTCGCCGCTCCCTCTTCTAGGGCGCCAGCCGCAGGTCCCTTCCTTTTTTTTTTTCCTCTCCCTCGAATGATCCAATTTTACACACGTCCCACAATGCATTACACTTCATTTGCAATCGGTCCGGCTTATAGCTCCCAGATTTGCGTGGAGGAAAGGCACGTTATGTGGCTTCTCAGGCAAAAAAAGGAACGGGGGGGAGGGGGAGCTGGAGGGGGGCTGGGGACGAGAGATGTGCAGCGTGGGAGCTCGGGGGTCCCGAACAATGGCCCGATTCAGCCCGGCCGTGCTTAGCCAACTGTGAGCCCCGACACAAAAGGCCCAAACAAACGAGGAAAATCCCGCGGCCGCCGGCTGCGACCCCGACCGCGGCGCGCCCGGCGCTGGGGAGGAGGCGGCAGCTCCCGGCGCGGCGGGAGGAGCGGCGGGAGGAGAAGGAGGAGGGAGAGGAGAGGAGGGAGGGCCCACAGACGCCTCTCTCGGCCGCGGGACGAGCGAGCGGATGCAGCCGCGACCCCCCCCCCTCCCCGTCCGCCGCCTCCTTCCTCCTCAGGCCCGCGGCGCCCGGGCGGCCGGCAGCGGCCCGCGGCCCCCGGCAGCGCCGCGCCTCGCCATGGTCGGCGCCGACTCCCGCCCGCCCGTCCCCGGGGCTGGATCGCCGCCGGCTCCGCGCTAGGGAGGGCCGGCGCGGGGGGGGAGGCCGCCAGCCGCTCCGCCCGCCTGCCCGGCCCGCCCGCCGCCTGCCCTCCGCCTCGCCGCGCTGAGAGCAGCCGCTGCCGGAGCGCCGCCCGGGCTCATGCCACTCCCGCCGGAGCCGCGCTAGTCCCGCCGGGGTCCGCGCTCCCCCGCGCGGCACCGGCTCGCAGGCGCCCGCGTACGAAACCCCGTGCGCGGCAGGGACCCGGCCCCCTCCCGCCCGCTCCCGCTCCGCCTCCTTTCCGTCCGTCCGTCCTTCCTTCCTTCCTGGCGGGGGCAGTGACGGCGGAGCGCCGGGCCGGGTACGCAGCGCTGGGCACCCCGCACGGCCGGGCTGTGGGCAGCGGGCAGGGCGGCCGTGCGGGCCGGGCCTGGCCATCGGCCCCTTCGGGCAACGCTGCCGCCCCGGGCCAGCCGCGGGGCGAACGGGCGGACACGAGCGAGGGAAGGGCTCCGGGACAGATGTGCATCCCCGGGGCACCCTGCGCAGAGCCTGCGGGGCTCACCCGCGCATCCTCCGCCGCCTTTCCCCTTGGGCGCCTGAAGAAGCGGCTCTCCCCAGGAGGGCCCAGTCAGCCACACCGCCACATTGAAGCCCAGCACACTCCACAAGGGTATCCAGGACACCCGGGCTGCCCCCTCGCTGGCGGGAAGGGGGTTCCCACCCTCTCACAGTGGCTCACACATCTACTCCCAGGGCACCCTCTTGAGTGGGGCCTGGCCACCCAGGCATTTCATGAACTCCAGTTAACCAGAACTGTGCAAAGGGACTCGGTTCCTCCTCTGCAAGACGGCTCTGAGCACGCCCGGTGTTGTCAGGTGCTGCCACCGTTATCAATGGGGACAACTGCAATGCAGGGATGTAAAAATGTTGCTTTTGCAGCCTAGTTAAATTACTTATATATTTATATTTTTATAATTAATCCTTCTTACAGTGGTTTGTGTCACATTTCTAAGAGCATGGAAAAACAGAGGGCTGTAATTTTGTAACTGGCACTTTTCAATAGAGGTGAACCAGTAAAAGGATGACCATCAGTGAAGGAACTTGATACCAAAGACCATGAGCTACTATCCCTGGGCTGCCTTGCTGCATGGCTATGGGTGAGTCACTTCAGCAGCCACCTCAGCCCATCTGCCTGCGCTGCTGCGGGCAGCACACACACCAAAGAATTATGCAAGGGCTCGTATGCAGCAGTCCCTTTCATATGAATAGAATATACATTAATGAAACTCAGCAAGAAAACTGAAAGCTAAATGCTATGGGGTTCTTTCTCATTCAGCCTCATCTTTTTCCAGCTGTGAATAGCTATCAGGAAAGACATGTTTCCACTGATACTTTGTATACTGGTAGCAACAGGAAAAAGTTAAGATGAGAAAAAAGATGGCCTAGAGCTCCTCTAGTAAAAACATAAGATTTTCCCTCATGAAACTTACTCATCTAGCAATTTACTCATCAACCTACGCAAAGCTTATAATAGAGCATGTTTTCACCCTCAGACCAGAAAAACCATAAGAACTTTTAGAATCATTCCATTTTTCTCCTTGAAGGCTGAGGTTGGGGTAGATTGGTTAGCACTACCTAGATAAATCAAACCTAAAAAATGTACCTATTTTACCAAACGTAGAAGCAAATTAAATTCTATTTAGGAGCATAAATTCATATTCCACTATCTAAACATTGAATGAATGATGGCTTTGCCTTTCCAGCAGTCAAGAAGTGGTTGGATATAGTTGGCCAGCTAGCTTCAACTTATTGCTGAACTAAACTCAACTTTTCTCCTAGTCTAGACACAGCCCTAGATATCAATCTGTTCCATTAAAAGATGACATGAGACAAGAGACAAATAGGAATCAGCAATGAGGAGGAAAAATGAGGTCAAGAAGTAGAAAGACAGAACAAAGCAGGACACACACACAAACACTCTTGACAATAAACAAGGCCACAGTGATCTTTACACTGGCTTTTTGTATAATTATTCCCAACTAAAATATTCTAACAAGTATCAAATAAAAAAATATGGGATGGCTCTGCAAGTGTCAGATAAAGCACACATCCCAATTCTTTTCAAGCAATGTGCTGTGCACTAATGAACTGGTGACTGCACAGAAGTCTTTCAAGTGGCTTTGACTTAATTTGTACACTTCCATGAATTGTCACAAGAGTCATACAGTACATATAATTAACACATGGTATCATCTACTTATCAGTTGTAGGAATTAGACTGGTTCACAGTTTTGGGTAAAGATAATGACCCATTTTCAATATGTGGTAATTTTAAATGAATAATAATTTGCTCCTACAACTACAAAAGGAGGAGGGAATGAGAGAAATAAGCAACTGTAGTGGTTTGGCCCTCTGGCAAGATCAATTTTCCCTTCCCACATGTGAGGAGATCTGTTTAAAAACAATTTAAAAACATCTCAGTATTGAGATGTTGTTCCTGTGGTCACCTAAAGTTCCTTTTATCAAGTCTTCTCACAGTTATCTTGTTTGGTTTCAGCTTAAAGTCTTCTGACATGGTATCTGAAAGAGTACTCCTCTTTGAAGAGAGGAATTCAGAGCAAGTTTCCTCCTGCTCTTGAATTGTTTGAAGTTAAGTGTTGTTACTGGGATGAATCAAATATATAATTAAAGACCAAGTTTAAGATTTGGCTGTTTTCTTTGGAATAAGAGCTAGAACTCTGAGTGTAATTGATTTTTTTGCTTCAGTGGCCAAACTGAAATAAAACTATTTTCTTCATGTGATCTGAAAGCTAAAACTTAAGTGCTTTAAAAACACAAAACAAAACAAAAGAACAAACAAATCCACAACATTTTATTCTGAGACATTTAAGTTTACTTTTTTTTTAATGAAGGAAAATAAATTTCTGGATTCGTATGGCTATGTCAGAGCAGAGTAAGGAAAAGATTCTCAGCTATGGAAATTGTCTAATAGAGCTTGCTAGAAGTAAGGAAAAATTCTTCTTCCAGGCATAAATTATACTAATGGGAATCTGAACACTTGGTAGTGATGAGAAAAATTGAGATGGTGGCAAAGCTAGTGGTTTTGTTTTTTTTATTCATCCATAATTTTTTGGAGGGGGTTTTGGGTTTTGGGTTTTGATTTTTTGTTTGTTTTTTTGGGGAGATTTTTTGTTTAATAAGGGAAAGGTTAAACTCAGAAGCTTTTTATTGAGAATAAGATAAAGCATTCATTTTTATAATTTGGTATTTAGTGTCCAACAGGAACCATCTCTATCTTGCATTACTAGAGGGAGAGGTGATGCTTGGATAAATAGACCATAGAGATCTTGGGGAAAAGGTCTGAACTAAACAAAAATTAGGCATCCTGCCTGCCTCATAACCTAACAATTCCTTATCAGGAATTGGCAATATAATAGCAGCCATTTCAAAAGTATAGATTTAACAGTATGAATTTCAAAAAAGAAGCTTAGTTCCATATCAGACATTACAAAGGATTCTTATATGTTCCATCACAACCCTTCTTCAGCCCAAGTTCATAAGGAGCCTGAAGTCTTGTGGAGAAACAATTCCAAATCTTTGCTTCTGAAAATATGTTTTATCTTTTAATAAGTGAGAAAACAAATCTTACTAGGAATATCTATTGCATGTGATCTTCATTAACACTTACTAGTTGCTGAGCAGGCCTGTTCGCATTTTGTAGATGAAAAACAGAAAAGTGTAGGAAACCAGCGGCAAATGCAGTGTTAAAACTTTGGGATCTCAGCTCCTATTTCAAGGTTCATTTTTCCTTATCTGAAAAATAATTATGTAGCAGAGTACAATATGGTGACCTGTATACATATTTCTCTGCATGTGTATGTGTATGCATGCTTGTACGTATATGGCAATTGCTCTCATGTAATGTGGTATTTCAAGTTTCAGCTGGGACTACTTTTTTCTTCCTTCCTATGACAAACAAGTTTCCATAGGGACAGCAGCAGGCTTCAGTAAGAGGGTGGGCTGGTGTTACTGCCTTAGCTACTTCCTTGGCTTGGGGACTGACTGCATGAGGTTTTTCAAATTAAATAAGCACACAAGCCAAATACTAAAATAAAAAAGGCAAAATAATAGGACACACAAGGAGGAAATCCCCCTCTTCACTAAGACAAGCTACACCTCTAAAATAATTTTCTCTCAAACTATGCATTCAAAGCCTGGGTTCTCCCTTACCCTGTCTCTACCTTGCCTGTGGCGCAC